ATGGAGCCATATATATAATTGTAGAATCCTCTTTTAATACTAAGTTTGTAATCAAAAGATAAACTTGATTTATTTTTAGGACTATTTTTATGTTTTTATATAATACCATGCTGCCATTTTATTATACTGCAATGAAGGCACCTGCTTTGATAGCTTTATAAGGAAGCATAAGAAGATTGCACATTAGGCAGGAAACCTGTCTTAAGAGATGCAAATGTGCTGTCATGCTGATATCACCTGAAAATGTTAATTGCCTGGCTTATTTACATCTAAACAGCAATAAACACACAAGCTAGTGTGCAGGTTGGTTCTGAATTCATGGCGCAGATTTACTGATGGGCAGCTGATGGGCAGATGGGCAGCTGGCATTTCCAGAAGGAGACCTGCAAGGTCTCCCACAAGAATACCTGTCTCTAGTGACAGGCATACTTTTAAAGCTGAACTCCAGGCACAAAAACCTCTATTTAAATATATATTCCTATATAACCAAAAAAGCATACAATAAAGCACTGTGTGCACCAAATGCCTTTTGCCATCCCACTTATTATCTTGTAAAAATGGTGGTGACATAATCACTGGGCTGCACATAACCTGTGCGCAGGTCCACCCACTACAAGCTGCCTGCAGAAAACGACAGGAGGGGGCAAATACAAGACCAATCACCCTGCACAAGTTGAGAGAGCAAAGAGTGACCGGTTTTTATTACAGGAAGCTCGTACAGAGAGACAACATTTCTCAATGCATTACCACACAGATCTGGAAGAACAAAATGAAGCTCACCAAGATTAAAGTAAGAATACACAAGCCTCTTGTATTGAGACAATACAGCAATTCCTCACTTAATGACCAAGTTCCGTTCCTACGACTAGGTAGTTAAGCGAGGAACTGTATACAGTACTGTACTGTATTAGTACAGTAGTGTTGGTGATGTACTGTAATTCTTTAAATACAATACTTACCGAGAATAGTAGCAGAGAAGGGAGTACAGTACTGTATGAAAGATGCAGTCGGTGAGACGCCACACTGCCGCTGCCACATTGCCACACATACTGTCGGAGAGCTGGTCGTAAGTGCAAGCGGTCGCTAAACAGGTAGGTAGTTGAGTGAGGAATAGCTGTATAGTATTTGCTTATCCTGGAGTTCAGCTTTGACGCTTGCTATTCCTTTCGTTATCATATCAAACAGTACCTTGTGCACTGATCTTGGTGAGTTTATGCCAAAGTTTAAAAAGGTAGATTTGGTATGGCACAAGGTGGGGCAGATAGTTTTGGATATAATAGGTCAGATCTTGATCTTTGTACATCAGTTAATCTCCAGTTGCCGATGTGCCAAAGTAGTTGTTGTGGAAAATAGTAAGCACACAGAGTGTGGACCCTGTTGCCTCTTTAAAAGTTTGTTGGGCACGGACACAGTGCCCATCAGGTTTACTATTGCGAGATAATTAAGTTTAGCATTCTACAGTTGATTTCTTTAAACTGAAGACCTACATTTTATTTGACCTAATGAAAGCAATGTATCTGAAAATACCTGTTCATTTATTTTTTATTTTTGTTTACATTTTTTTTCAGGTACGTGGCTTATCTGGCTTTGGAGTGCAGTTGGAATTTTTGATAGAGGAGTATGCGGGGAGCAAAGGAAGATTTCCTCCAATCAAACGAAGAGCAAAAAATTCTCTGTACATTGCAACCATAGAAAAAGGTCACAGTCTTGTGAATTCGTTGATTGAAACTGGGCGAATCAGTGATTTGGGCCTGGTTGTTGTTGATGAGGTAATACATTTTGTGCTCTGATGTGTCATCATTCAAACAGTGTATAGTTAGTTCTATAAATCTTGGATAGGGTTCTTAAAGCATATTTCCACTTTTGTCGTAAAATTTTGAGAAAACCCCTCTTTGTATGTGTCATGTTTTCCCATTTAAGCAGCATCAAAAACATAACTATTGAAAAAAAATTCTTACCTTTTTTAGATGTTTTGTTGCAGCTAGGAAGATGGCTGATTCCGGGTTTTTCTGAGCACCTTCACAGTGTCCTGTTCCTATAGAAAGACTTAGGACTGAAATTTAAGGATTATTTTTCTCTCCAAGTAAACACAATTTAAACTGCAAGATGCATTTTTTAAATATGTTTTTAGCTTATGCTATGTGAATTAGAACATGTAACAAATATAACATATTTGGCTGCGGAAGTGGAAATAAACTTTTGTTTCACTCATTTTTTATTATTTGTTCAATTGCTGTGTTATAGAATCACAATGACATGTAGTACTCTATGTATTAGTTTCCGGCTTTTAAAGGAGAACTATGGGGTTAAGGCTTTTCCCCATAGTTCTCCTTGGGGTAACGGGAGGACACAAACTAGTGTCCTCCCGTCACCCTAAGCTCAATATACCGTGAGCTACAGCTGGCGGTATACTGAGAAGCTGAAGCGGATCCCGACAATTATGTCTGGATCCGCCCAGCTGCGTGAGTGAGAGCTGGCTCTGCCTATCCAGAGGCAGAGCCAGCTGTACCCGCCCCCTCCCCTGTCCGTTCCGCCAGTCAGCGCTGGAGGAGCGGGGAGGGGGGATCCAGCCCCTCCCCTGTCACAGCAGAGAGCCGTGACAGGATCGTGAAGTGAGCTCACCTGCCGATCTACTGAGCCGACCTGTGACAGTCTCATTGTCGCAGGTCGGCTAGAACTATGAGGTGAGTGAAAAGCACTCACCTCATAGTCCTCCTTTCAGAATATTTTCATTATATAATGTATAGACTCTTTCTGCCTCATTTACTATTTAGTAACCTTTAAGCTTGGTGATAGGCAGCAAAAAGTGCTTGAACCTACGTTTAAAGTGACATTAAAGAAAAAAAAAAAATTCCCTCCCCCCAATGTTAATGTCAGCACTTACCTTAAATGATGTCTCTTAATCCGATCTTCCTCTTCTTTCCTGTCCTTTTCAGCCTTCTCTCCATTGCTGCTGCGGGTCTCCGATCCAGCGCTGACTCCTCTGTCCTTGCTGGCACTTCCTGTCCCACGTGTCTGCATGCTTTGCGGCCACCCAAGTAGTGCAGCCAAGAACTGCAAGCAAAAACTGTGCTGCCAGCACATATGAATGTTGGACCTCGACCCTCACCCAACCACCTCCCCACCTTCCCCTGGCTCTCCTGCAGGGGTCTAGCACGCCCCACTGACCACCGCTCTAATTAACATCACTCTCGCTTCCTGAGCATCTCTGTTGAGTATGAGTATGTTCATGAAGGATAATTAAGAAACAAGTTAAGAGCTGATTAAAAAAAAAAAAAGAAAGACAGGTGAAGTTCCTCTTTAACTGCCAATGCTTTGTTTGACCATTGGTGCAAGGGTAATAAGCCCTGTCTAGGCTGCTTTTTTCTAACATAATGCATGGAAGCAACCGACAAAGTCAGTTGTTCCTGAACATTTACTGATTTAAATGAGAATGCTTCGTTCTTAGTGTTCAAATTGCTCTACCCAACTAAGGTGTTGGTTATCGATTTCTATTTGCAAGTCTAATGATCATGTCTTTCCAATTATCCAATAGTTGCATATGCTGAATGAGGGGAGCAGAGGTGCAATTTTAGAAATTACTCTGGCTAAAATTCTCTACACCAGTGGTAAGTTATATTCATAATCATATTTATATGTTGAAGTTTTTTACATAAACAGGCCATTTAAAGAATACATGCTTTAAATAAATTTGTCATGAAAGAAATACAGATGGTGGCACTGCAGAGAAAAGTTAACTGGCTGCTTTCCTGAAATTGTAGGGCCGCAAGGAGGAGCTGTCATCCTGTCAATTTCAGGATCACAGCTCCTCTGTGCAGTCCCGATCTGTGATCCTTACTGATCCTCTGTGTGCAGAGCAAACACTGGAGTGATCAGCTGATCACCCCAGTGTTTGTAAACATCTGGGGACACAGCGTGTGCCCAGTTATGAATGAACAGGGAGTGTTTTACATCACTTCCTGTTCATTCATGAGTTTCTCAATGCGAAAAGCACTGACTACAGAGGCTTCTACCCATTCATAACTGGATGATAGCAAATATTTTACCATCACCAGTTTCTGAATGAACGGGAAGCCTCTGTACTGAGAGCTTTCCATTCATTGAGTGCTGATGCTGCAAAAAAGAGATTAAAGACTCTGTGTCCTCAATTTCTTTTTCTATTTAAAAAAGGAAATGTCAGGGATCTGTTTAGACTCCTGATATTTCCCTAAAGCCCCCCCAACAGAAATAACAAAATTACATTAATAAAAAATAAAATGCAACCCCACGCACACACAGATAACATATACGTGCAACAGTGTGCACTATATTGTGGTGTATGCAATGCACATGTGCTGCAGTGCGTTGTTAGAACGTATCGCAGTGCTTGATTTTATTTTAATAACAATTTAACTGTGGCAGTGCATGGCAAAGCATTGTGATGCATTGTAAATGTACACCTGGATCATTTTTTCACAACACACGCGCCAACACAGCGCACAAACGATTTTTAACATAGGTTGCTTATTTACAGTTTTGTGTTACTTTTTTTTTTTTTACCGTTTCGCAAAAAAGCTAAATTTAAAATTTACAACTTTTTGTTATTTATTAACTCAATACAGTTTTTATCTTTTAGATTTAGTCGGAAAAGTTATTTTTTCTTTTTTTTGTGCACTGATACTAATTTTACTGTGCTTTTTTATTGTAATTGTGCGCAATGATCACAGGACCTACAAAATTAGTAGCACCATCTTTTTAGTCTACCGGGCCTGTGCTTTCATAAAAGATATGGTTTGGGGGGAGGGGGGTCTTTTACAAACGCTAGCAACGCAGCAATAGAAAATCAAAACAATGGGAAAAATTGCAAAAATGGTGTGGCCATCTGAGGTTAAAATCGTTTTGGAGGGCTTGGCAGCAAAAGGGTTAAAAGCCTGAAAGCTTTGCAGTGGCTTTGTAAAAGCGTGCTTTACACATTGCTCTTATACAAGCTGAGGTCTATATGTAAACGGCTTATTGTGAGATCTCTACATTTGAGCTCCTAGGTTTGCACACCTGCTGCATCCAATATGTTGAGGCATTACTATCTTTGTTGAAGTCTGTATTACTGAATACCTCCAAGTAGACAATATCAGGGAATTATGGCAGAGAGATCAGCACCACCTATAAGAAATTAACCATGATCCACCTATAATTCATATATTACTTTTGGGTGGGCTGGCCCTTTAAATGAGAATCCTACCCAGGATTGTAATCCATCCCCAGCTGTGTTCTCCCATGTTTTGCTTTCACTGCCCAGCAGATCAACGTTTGGGAGGCTTCTCTTTTGAAAATGGCGATACAGGATGAGATGCAAGTCCGAAGAGACTGCTAAGTAAACATCACTGTGCCAGATATTCACATTCAGCTCCAGATATAAGTGTGGCTAAAAGCACCATATAGTCTAGCCACCTTTCACCTAAAATAAATGGTAATTTTTGGTGTGGAAGTCTTTGTACTTTTTTGCTGCAGTCTACACTAGCTATTATTTTGATATTTTAAGTAACTGTTTTAGGTTGCATGTTGTCAGATTACTTATTTATTTTTAGCATTTCTCTGTGTTCAGTGTGAGTTTTATGCACCAAATGGTATCAAACTTAGTTGCAAAAATTGCTTTTGTATCTCACCATGTAATTAATAATTATATAATTAGAACTCCAGGCACAAATTTTATTAACCCTTGCAGTGGGGCAACCTTGCTCCCCCTCCACTGCAGCAGTCTAAGGTCCCTGAGTCGTCATGTTTTATACACTGTGTATAGGACGTGAGGATGCTGGGGGACATACCATCGCTGGAACATAGAAGGATACAGGCATTAGGTAGCGCTTTCACAGCCGGTCGGCTCCGAGGTTCGGGTGAGTATAACTTAGCACCTAGACAAAAACGAGCAGTTAACCCTTGCAGTCCAGAGGTAGCCCCACTGTAAGTGTTAATCAAATTTGTGCCTGGAATCCATGCCCGGAGTTCTGGTTTAATAATAATAATATGCATCTTCTTCAAGGTGGGGTGGAATTGAGTCTAGTGGTGAGTGCATAAACAAAGAAGAATCCCCTAAAGCACACCTGTATGCGTATCTGTTATGTATTACAGCTTACCAGTCCTTAGATGTGGTAGAAGCATTTGTTTTCATTTTCAGGCTTTTTTTTTTTTTTTTTCCCCTTTTTCTTTTTGAATGGTGATAATGCCAGTAACACAGTTCTTGCCCTACGGTGACCACGTTTACTCACAGAGCTGTATCTTTGGAGCCTCACTGTTGGCTACCTCTCATCAGCTCTATATTATAGGTAGAGGTGTTTATAGTTCACAGAAGAGAACTGGGAAAGCTGATAATGTTTGAGATTCAGTTCAGTGCACAAATGTTGCAAGGATAGGAACAAAAGGTCGTTTGTGATACTTACAGATATTGTTCTCAGCCTGAAAAAAAAATAAAAAAATAAATGCAGCCACGACATCTAAGGAGTAGTAAGCTGCAATGTATTACATGTTTCTTCTTTGATTTATATACACTTGAAATTTATAGTAATGGTTTTTGAAAAACAAGCATAGTGATTTGGTAACTGTTATGAGAGTGAGGGTTGTGTAATGTGTTTACAAAATTAACTTGTTGTGCTTCCTTGTAGAAACTTACTTGCAAAATTATTGTCAATTAAACGACAAAGTTGTGATCTGATTATTTCATTTTAGAACTATCTTTATGTTTTATGTACAGAAAACACCCAAATTATTGGAATGAGCGCAACCTTAAACAATGTCGATGAACTGAAACAGTTCCTAAAGGCGGAATATTACACAGACACCTTCAGACCTGTAAGTTTCTACTCTCTCCTGTTCATTAAAGAGTACATCCTACCAATACAGACTGGAGAGGGTATAGAAGTAGTGTGTAGATTACGCTAAGTATGGGCTAAGGCCACTGATTAGTTACTTTCAAGTGCTCTGCTACAAGCAACATCTGTGGACTGTGATATTCGTTCAGTGGGTGGCCCTGTCAACACCCTTCTATCTGGTATCCTTCAATCAGAAAATTGATGGAGCCACTCTGAAAATTTTGGGGCAAACAGAGAAGGCAGCCGTGCAGCTATCGTCTCTGTTGCGTTATTCAGACAGTGGCACACACGCTGCTGTCAGAGTACAGTGGTCCAGTGGGAGCTTCATCCATCCACACTGTTTAGCATGGATGGAGGAATCCCTGATACTTTTTTTTTGTTCCGCCCGCAGGTTGAACAAATACAATATAACAATGCATGGCCATCAGCCCAAGAGATTCCCTAATTCATGCTAATCCCTGCTACTGGATATTGTATTGTATTCAGCAGCCATGGCTCCAGCGGCTGCTGAATACCCAAACAGCGCCTGTATCTGATTTGATGCTGGGGCTGTTTAGCCGCAAATTTTCAGACCGGCTCCTTATCACACAGGGAACATTAATCATCCCAATGGGTTTTCTAACTCACCTGATTGGTCCTTTAAGCCACTTAAACTATGGGATAGCACCCAAATTGGGTCACGGGCATTATTTATGTTTTAAATTGTATACCCTTGTGATGTAGCCTATAAACGAAGTGGTTAATGCATCACAGAGTGTGTTCATTTCTGTTGGATAAAAGTGTAAAAAATAGTCCCAGGCTTTGCTGACATTATTGTAATGATTCCTTTCTTGGGTTCCAGTACGGTTCTTGGATTCTGGGATTAAAAATGATTCAGAACCCCTGTTTTAAAGTCATGATCATGTGCGGGCTAGTTAGACTTGAGATTGTCTCTTTGGGTATCTATAATCTGCTATCAGTATAGTAAACATGTATGTTTCTAGAAGCTGCGTAATCAAACTTGACTAGTATTTCTTAAAAACTGATATTGCGAAAATACTTTAGAGAAGAGTTACACAAAATTGGATTTTTAGATTATTACTTAGTATTGTACATTCCAATGGAAAATCCAAACTGTTTATTCTATATGCTCAACCTGTTGCTATAACCCTTCCAACCAAACAACAAAGTATTCAAATGTCTTGTGTGTAGAATAAGAAAACACTTTTATTTGCGGTAAGAAAAAGAGACTTACTAGGTCAGGAGTTTTTTATAGAAGTGAAAGAAAGGTCACAGACTTTAGGCAGTAGAAAGAAATGTACTTTTATTTGTAAAATAATAATTTAGAGTTTTTGTGACAGAAAATGTATTAAATTCAAACCTTTTCTTTTTCTCTATGTTCCAGGTGGAACTAAAGGAATATGTTAAACTGAAAGATTGTATTTATGCGGTTGACAATAAGGCTGAAAATAACCTGACATTATCACGTCCTCTTAACTACAAGGTAAAGTATAAAGGTAAATTTGAAGTTGGTGCGAGTGGGCCCAGTTACAGCACTATATGGACATAGGACAGAGCACAAATGGCACACTCAACTGGACACTGGACAGAGCACAAATGGCACAGTCGACTGGACATAGGACAGAGCACAAATGGCACACTCAACAACGAACACCAAGTACAAATCATACACAGCACAATGCAAGCGCTGCACAGCAAGCACCACATGCATATCATAGTGTGGTCATTGCATAGACTGCAAACGCAGCATAGAAGGCACAGAATGTACACAACACAGATCCTATAACATTTGTAGACACTGCACACATATACAGGACGTTAATTTTTTCGAGATCAAATTTGGAAAATATTGTGACATTTTAATTGAGTAGAAATAACCTAATTTTTTCATTCAAAACAGTAATACGTGGCATATTAACAGCAGTAACCGTGTTCTCATTTATGTTTATTCATTTTAATTTTAGTATTCAAGTAATATGCTAAGACTAGATCCCGATCACATCATCGCACTGGTGACCGAAGTCATTCCTAATCATTCCTGTTTGGTCTTCTGCCCTACCAAAAAGAATTGTGAAAATGTTGCAGAGATGATCTGTAAATACCTCAACAAGTAAGACAAAATCTTTCTTCATATTAGGACTGTTCTATGTAAAAGCAGACCCTACTCCCACTAACCTGCCTAATGCATCAGCATTACTTTCCTGGGACACAGAAGAAGACAGATTCAGGATATTTACAGCAGAAGCTGGCACAAAGATGTTCTTTAATTTAGAGATTTACCAGAACAGGAGATGAGGGTAAATCTTCCAAAGAGAAAACGTTTTCCAGTATTAACTGTTTAAGAATTTCCTTTTGCTTTGAAAAGATTTCCTTTCTGTTGGGAAAAGTGAAGGCAAATCTTATCAACTGGACAAAGACAGCTGAAAACCAGGTGTACAGTTGTGGCCGAAAATATTGGCACCCCTGCATTTGTGTCAGATAATGCTTTCTTTTGTTTGTATTGGTATGACATAAAAAAGTAGAAAGAAAAAAACAAACAAACCTGACACATTCTACGCAGAACTCCAAAAATGGACTGGACAAAATTATTGGCACCTTCTCCAAATTGCAAGAAATAATTGCATTCCAAGTTTGTAATGCTCCTGTAATTTGTAATTAAACTCACCTGTATCAATTAACAGGTGCTGACAGTATAGAAATGCACACCAGCAACCAGTTAAAATTGTGAAAAACTTGACATAACCTTTCTGTTGTTCGCGTCTGTGTGCCACATGGAGCATGGAGAAGAGAAAGAGCAGGAAAGAATTGTCTGAGGATTTGAGAACAAAAATTGTGGACAAGCATGGACAATCTCAAGGTTACAAGTCCATCTCCAGAGATCTTTATGTTCCTGTGTTCAACATTGTCAAGAAGTTTACAGCCCATGGCACTGTAGCTAATCTCCCTGGACGTGGACAAAGGAGAACAATTGATCAAGGATTGCAACGAAGGATTGTTGGAATGGTGGATAAAGACCCTCGATCAACTTCCAGACAAATTCAAGCTGACCTTCAGGCACAGGGTACAACTGTGTCAGATCGTACTATACGTCAACATCTGAATGAAAGGGACGCTAGTGTAGGAGGACTCCACTGCTGACACAAACATAAAAAAGTCAGATTGGAGTTTGCCAAAACTTACCTGAGGAAGCCAAAATCCTCAAGTATGTGGAATGTGCTGTGGACAGACGAAACAAAATTACAGCTTTTTGGTAAAGCCCACCATTCTACTGTTTTCAGAAAAAGAAATGAGGCCTTTAAAGAAAAAAATGTACAGTCCCTACAGTCATACATGGTGGAGGTTCACTGATGTTTTGGGGTTGCTTTGCTGCTTCAGGCACTGGATGGCTTGACTGTGTGCATGGCATTATGAAATCTGAAGACTACCAAAAAAATCTGGGGTGCAATGTAGGGCCCAGTGTTAGAAAGTTGGGTCTCCATCAGAGGTCATGGGTCTTACAGCAGGTCAATGACCTACAGCACACATCAAAAAGCACCCAGAAATGGTTTCAGACAAAGCACTGGAGAGTACTGGACCGGCCAGCAATGAATCCAGATCTGAATCCCATAGAGCACCCTTGGAGAGATCTCAAAACAGCAGTTGGGAAAAGGAACCCTTCCAATCTGAGAGACCTGGAGCAGTTGGCGAAACTGAATTGATGGTTACAGGAAGCGACTGATTTCAGTTGAATGTGTCAGATTTGGCTTTTTTTTTTTTTTCTCCACTTTTTTGTGTCATACAATACAAACAAAAGTCAGAAACATGAGAATGTCTAAACATTTGTAATTGTAAACATTTTCTGTGCAAAGTTGAGCATTATCTGGCTAAGGTGCCAATATTTTTAACCCTTTCCTACTCTAAAATCTATAGCACAAAAAGCCGTTTTGGCTTTGCATACACTTTTATACAGAGCCTCGTTAATCTGTTTCTTTTATATATTCCTGGAGTTGAGCTTTATTCTTTAATTCCTTGATTTTATTAGCTGTAAAAACTTGTAGATTAGACACTAGAGGCCTATTTGACTAGCAACAGTGACTCTGCCTAACTGCTTAACAACTGTTAAAAGTATCACAGAATAAAGTGTCTGGGCTAAATGTGATAAAAGCAATTACAAAGAAAAAACATATGCAATACACTTATGCAACACATGCACGTTTTTTACCATGTTTTCTCCCTTTGAAAACACTGCAGGTACAGAAATATACCCATTAACCCTGCCATAAATTTAGTAAGCTCTTAATTTTCTGTTTGTTCTTCTGCAATGTATTTCCAAGCAGGGTTATTAACTCTGCCCAGGTCTTTACTTGGACTATAAGAACACAACTCCCATATGTTATATGAGATGAGGAAAGGGAAAGGTGTTCTGTAGTCCAGCAAAGGAAAACTGGGCAGGGTTGGCAACACTGCAACAAATTTAGTTAAGCAGAGACACTATCAGGGTTATTCACTAAAGGGTGAAGAGTTTGGAGAAGGCAGGAGAAGTGAACAATCTAGGACAGCATAGCTGATTTGGAAAAATTCTCCAATTCAGCTCACTTTCCAGATCAGCTATGTTGTCCTAGATTGTTCACTTCTCCTGCCTTCTCCAAACTCTTCACCCTTTTGTGAATAACCCTTTATGTTGTCAGCTCCAATGGGTAGTTTTCACCACAAGATGTCCTCGGTCTTCTGAGATAACCAGGAGAAACAGTACTGTGAGTTCAGGGCATCACCTCAGTGCCCTTCATTTACAGTATAATGATGTATAGAGCAGTTCTGACATCATCATCTCTGCATCAAGCAAGGCTGCCCACTGTCAGAGGAAGATCTGCATGCTATATTGATATGCAGCAAGAGGACCCAGCATATCAATATAGCATGCATTGATTGAAGCACATACAGTATATATTTGTAGCTCACTCCTGGCATCTGTAACATAGCAAAAATAGCCAGGTGCCAAGACAATGTTATTCCTGCACGCTGCTGCAGAAGTTACATCACCAGTGGCACCCAATGGCCAAAGAAGTGGAAAGCTAACCTGGAAAAATGAGGGAGCAGATTGCAACAGCGGATAGAGCAGCAAGGATCAACTCTGAACTATCGGTGCTAAAGAATGGCAAAGAAGGAGGTGAGTTTGCAATAATGTACACATATGCTGTGCATAGTTGCAGATTATGAAAAAAACAGTGGACCTACCATTTCAGTTGAATGTTGTGTTTGGGGGGGGGTTAATATTTACCCAGATGTAGACTGTAAGATATCAGTAACACAGGAACTTCATTGTTTAAAATGGGTCAGACGAATCATAGACTTGCATCATGAGAAGAAACAGTAAGGACATGGTCGGCTGAGCCCATAAAATCTAAATACCGGCGTATTATCCTCTGCTAAGGGGACGTAGGTGTTGCGTACAGCCTTCCATAGAAGTCAGGGGCTGTATGTAGGTATACGCAGGTACTTGTACACAGTGTGTGCATTCAGACCATTGTGTATGGTGACAGAACAGGAGCCCATCTGTAATAAGCATATGTGACTTTCTCCATGTACCAAAATAATTACAAATTTGACATAGAAATAGTTCTAAAGCATTACCACATAAGATCGTTTACATCTAGTGGATCTCTGTTACATGTGTATCCTTCCAACACTGACTTTCCTTTTTTTTAAATTTAGGATTTTTACTTTATTACAAATGGCAAATACATTTTAAACCATTTCTAGCCTTTATTTTATAATTCTGTGCATTCATATATTTTACCCAGCATGTCATAAGATGATACTAAAAATGACACCTTCATTTTTGTATGCTTAAGAGCGTACTTGGGTCACAGAGAAGCTGAGAAGAAGTTCCTTATTGAGAACCTAAAGAACACAGGCAATGGCACATTGTGCTCTGTGCTAAAAAGAACAGTTCCCTTTGGCATCGCTTACCATCACAGTGGACTGACCAGTGATGAGAGGAAGTTGGTGGAGGAGGCCTATTCGGATGGAGTCCTCTGTCTTCTTACATGCACTTCCACTCTGGCAGCGGGAGTCAATCTGCCAGCTAGAAGGTCAGTTCATTAAACATTGTATTCATTACAGCCATGTCTCAATAGGAATCAATTTAATGTTCCAAAATATTAAACCATATACCCGCTGGTAGGCTGAAGTTGCATGCAACCCACTGGTACCATCTGTGTGGTCATCCTCTTAACCGTAACCACAGTTTGGATAAATATCCAAGATTGTGATATTTTTTTCTGAAATGTAACTAGGGATACATCATTACTGCCCCCGTCACCGGAACTTCTGGTCAGAGGGAGATTTCGTCTGACCGGCAGTGCCATGAGGGAACATGGAGCTGGCTTCCCGGCCAATCAGGAAGCCAGGTCATTACCCGCCACCCGGCTTCCTGATTGGCCAGTAAGTTAACTCTATACTGATTGGCTGGGAAGCTGGCATGCCGGCCAATCTGCGTCGTGCTGGCCACACAGTATGGATCCAGTATTCTGTCGAAAGCACTGACACGTCGAGATCTCTGACTGGTGGCTTTGGGTCTAGTCCCTTGCCAGTAGGAGATTTAGACCAGATGTCTCTGGTGCGCATGTGCCAGCCGTGCCTCTGTCAGAATCTTCATCGAGTTATTGAACTTCACAATCCCCATCAAGTTCTCCATCCCCGTCAGTGCGCCTGCGTGGTCACCACGCAGCAGAATTAAGTCATCTAAATAGCGTTATGCTGAGAGATTAGATGTTCTGCCATCGGGTGGGCGCATTGACTGGGTCAGAGAACTTGATGGGAATTGTAAAGCCGCTCAGGCGCAGTGACGGGAGGTCGATAACCCAATGAGGATTCTAGCACGCGCACTAGCTTCATCTGGTCTAAATCTGCTACTGGCGTGTCACCATATGTGACGTCACCAGTCGGAGATCTCAACGGGTCAGAGATTTCGGCAGAACACATGCTTCCCAGGTAATCAAGAAGCTGGGCGGCGGGCGTGTCATTACACTCCGGCTGGCTTCTTGTTTGCTCGGGAAGCAAACTCCATGCTTGCGGAAGTACTGGTATCGGTACTCGTACCAGAATATAAATATCGGTACTCGATACCGAAAAAACAGTGTCAGTGCATCCCTAAATATAACCATGGCGGAAAGAGTGGTTAAAGCATATATGGGCCATATATATGGCCAGATTATTATGACCACCCCATCAGTACTTCGTTGGGCCACGAGATGACTCCACGAGATGACTTCGTTGGGCCGCCCCGTGACTCCACGAGATGTTGAAAGGTGATGCGAGGAATCTGACACTGCACTGTTGCCCTTCTGTTGTCTTGTACCAGTCTTGCCACTCTCCGTTCTGCCCTAACATTGACTAGTCGCTGACGGCCACAATTCGCACGTTCAGACCCAGATTTTCGGCTGACAGTCCAGTCTTTAAACAGTTTAACAGCTGCTCTTGAGCATTTAACGAATTCTGCTGTTTTTCTGATACTCGCTCTATGGCTCCGAGCGCCAAAAATCCCCCCACGTTCAAAGGCTGTTAAACCGCGTTGTTTACCCATATCTTCACTTCTACTGTTGTGGTAAACAACCTGCTTCCTTATTTATAATGGTCTGGCCCTGTAGCAACTTCAGCGCGAAATTATAGCTAATTATAGCTAATTTGCCTACCAACGTCAGGTGGTCATAATAATCTGGCCACTCAGTGTATGTAGGGTCTCTATGTAGGGACCCTATGTAGGTTTGGCTTCCACTTCAGGGACAGTGCTCAATCAATTTTAAAATGATAAGGACATAGATACATTTATAAATGTTTTTCTTTTAATTACATTTTCTTCACTTTATTTAAAAAAAAAAAGCATCTGAGGTGGCAGTGGAATAATGAAAAGGCCCCATCACTGCCATTGCTGACCCTTTTTTTGCAAATGCTGGTTACCTGGCTGTGCCTGGCTTCAGACTTAAAATAAGCATGCTATAAGATCAGTCAGGAAATATTAAAGCAAAATCATTAACCTGACAACCAGGGAAGTGGCATTCTCAGAGAGGTCAGCAATGGCAGCCCCCATACTTTCCTCACAACGGGGTTCCTTAAAATAGTGCTTTTTATTGGTCTTGTTTTAAGAAGCATGGGTGAATGTGCAAAGCATTTGTGCATTGTGCTTACAGCAACCAGTCAGCAATAATGTTTCACTAATATGACTCTTCTGGATGCTATGGGTTACACACCTTGCTATTGCTCTGTGCATTGCTTCATTACTAAGACCTTATTAGTTAGATCTCATTCTAAGAGTCATTCTAATGTTGATATCCTGTGTCATCTTCGCTTTTGGACATAGTTGTAAAAAAGCAGGCATTATACTGCAGAAATCCTCAACCTCCTATACCAATATATGAGTAATTCTATGTTGTGCCATTATCAGCAATGATGGATGTTGTTTTTTATTATAATTAAATATGTATAGATTTCCAGTATTAATATAATCGCTTTGATTTGACTTCTGCAGGGTTATCTTACGGGCACCATATGTTGCCAGAGATTTCCTGAAGAGAGCACAGTATAAACAGATGATTGGCAGGGCTGGCCGAGCTGGAATTGACAGTGCCGGGGAGAGCATCCTTGTTATACAGGACAAAGATAAACAAATGGTAATCTGAATAATTTGAATATATGGGTCAGCACTGTAAAGCCTATCTTTTATACTGCCATCTACATGTTCAAGGCTTCAGTTTCTTATCCAGGAATAGCTGTACAGTATAAGTCCACCTTGTACCCTTTTCAGTTGTCACGTGATCTGAAATTCCTACCTGTTTGTAATGCAGGAGAGGCATTCCCAGATACACCCACTACAGTCCAACATACATACAGAAAGACTAATGTATCGAACTGTTATCACTAAGAATTTTTGTTACAACCACTAGTAAGATTTATGTGGCCACACACACAAGCTTAGATTCAAATCTTTGCGTTTTGTTTTCAATTAATAAAATGGGCTTGTGTTACCTTTTTTATATTCAAAGCGGAGTTCTTTGTGGGGGCTTATGGTCATAACTTTTTTCGTTTTGTTTTGAATAGAGTAGGGAAGGATAAAAACTAGGGCTGTGGAAATTAACGATTAATCCTTCGATTAATGGTTAATTTTTTTTATCGATCAAAATCATACTCACCTCTCCGCCGGCTTCCAGGTCTTCCGTCGATGTCCGCGACGTCACCGGACTCCTCCCCCCTTCCACAAGTGGCTCTGTCGGCTAACGAAGGGAAGGGTGGAGGATTCCGGTGACGTCGATGTCCGTGACGTCACTGGGCTCCTCCCCCTTTCCTTCGTTACCCGATGGAGTACACAGTGAGTACACAGCCTAACTCCCCTGGCCACCCGGGAGAGTGGTTTAATCTGCTCTCTCTTTTTACCGGAATGGTTTAATCTGCTCAATCGAACAGATTAAACCTTTCCCTGCGATCGTTAATTTTGTTTTTTTTTCTGACATTGGGAGCCGCGGCCTGACCGTCAGTCAGAAAAGAAAAAAAAAAAGGCATACGATTGCATAGCTAGATTCCTATTGGCTATTGCACTTTGCAATAGCCAATAGCAAACTAGCTAATGCACCCGCCCACTGCTGCTGTCAATCAGCAGAGGGGGACCTGATTTTTTTTCTATCAGGTCCTCTTCTGGTGATTGAAAGCAGTAGGGGGCGGGTGCAATAGCTAGTTTGCTATAGGCTATTGCAAAGTGAAATAGCCAATAGGAATCTACCGTAGCTATGCATTCTTATGCCTTTTTTTTTTTTTTAATTCTGACAGCTGCAACTGGCAGAATACTAAAAAAAAAAAAAGTCTGCAGATAGCAAAGAAGCTATTGCTTCCTGTGCGATCTGCCATCATTTCAGGGGGGTGCTCTCTCCCAGTCCCCCCTAACTCCCCCTCCGCAGATGGGGGGGGGGGGAGAGGGCACCTCCCTAAAACAGAGGGACACCTCCCTGAAATTGCTTATTTCAGGTTGGGATCCCTGGCATTGGCCTATACACATACAGCACAGCAATGAAGTAATAAAATGAACTAGGATCACACTAATCCAGCACGTTATTATTCTGAGTTGCCCCACTAAAGCGGCGGCCATATTGAGTGGGGCACGTGAGATTAATAACGTGCTGGATTAGTGTGATCCTAGTTCATTTTATTACTTCATTGCTGTGCTGTATGTGTATAGGCCAATGTAGTTGGATCTGTATGTGCGTTATAATCGAAATTAATCGATTAATCGATTAAAAAAAATTTCGATTAATCGAACAGGAAAATTTTAATCATTACCAGCCCTAATAAAAACCCCTGTCATGTTTTTCTTGCTGTGGATGTCCCTCCTGGGTAGATTCACCCCATTTATTTGTCCTAATAATCACTGTCACTGAGACAGAATGTGATGGGGAAATACATAATTTTAGAGTTGTCACCAGAGCAGTAGGCGAGGGGAAATTTTTCAAAGAGGGCAATTCCCCTTGCCCTGTTGAAATTTCCTTTTGCTTCCTGTTGTGTGTTTCAAGCAGGATGTGAAGGGATATTTCACAGACCGCAAGGGGGAAAAAAAACTGACAAAGATTTAAACCCTTACCCTATCCAAACAGGTTTGGCTATACATACATTTGTGAATCAGTGATATAGATATTCATGTATCAAACTAAAGCTTAACCAGCACAAAATAAATTTTTCACAGGTGGCAAATTATTTCTCCTAATTTGCCACTTGTGAATACTGCCAGCATTCCTATAATTCTAGATTGTAATTATAAATCAACTACTGATCTACTTTTAGCCTTAGTGTGATTTAATGTAGATGGCCAAGGATTCCCAGGGCTCTGTAGGTTTTCTAAAGACACAGCATTGCAGTGGTAATCTTCTTTCAGGCACTCTGACTATGGTTGAGAAGAGAGAAAGTGAGTCACTGCGCTGATTCATTTGCATGTGTATTTGAATTTTAGCTTGCCTTATTGAGTTCTGCAAACAGGCCATTTAAAACAATGGAGACATATATACAAAAAAAAGAGCCCAAAGCTTGCGCTGCTGGCTCGAAAGGAGAATACAAAATACTAGTTTATTATTCAGTATTTAAGTAACACTCAACTCGGGAGTTAAAACTTAAAAATACATTCAAGTACCTTAACTGTTAACAAAAATGTATCTTATTTGTGTATCACTCGGCTGTAGATCCTCAAATCATCTTTTAATTGGTGCTGACACTGTTCTGCCTCCTGGAAGGTGGATATTTTTGTTCCCTATGGTCCCTGTGTGTGTGTGTTGTAAAGTAACCACTGCTCCAAGATCGCTCCCGTGATGGACTACAATCTCGCGCTTGGTTTACTCATTTGTTTTGAGATTGTAATCCATCATTTGAGTGAGTTTGAAGAAATTTTGGTTTTTATTTAATGAATTCTAATGTTATCTCTACAATTGATTTGTTTTTTTTCTGCTTTCTACATATCTCCTTTTAGGTTCAGGAATTGGTTACCAAGCCACCAGAGAACTGTTATAGTAACCTCATGCATGATGATGGAAAAGGATTTCAGAGCTTGCTGCTTTCACTAATTGGACTAAAGGTAATATTCTATGGTGGGAAATTCCCTAAGGCCTGGTTCACACCTGGGCGTTTTGTAGCGCTTTCGAACGCTCTGCAAAATGCTCAAACACCGAAATCCCATTATTTCCTATGGGTATGGTTCACACCTGGGCGTATTACAGTCCGTATGAACGCGCTACAAAACGCCCTACGCCCAAAGAAGTACAGGAGCTTCTTTGGGGCGTTTTTGTTGCGCGTTTCCATTGGGATACTGCCAAGTAGCCCTCGGAAACGTGTGTTTGTCGCACGTTTTTTTTACCGCGAATCGATACAAATCGATACGCCTAGGTGTGAACCCAGCCTAAAGGTGACATCTGTTCTAGTGAAAGCTAGGAAAGTTGAAAATTCTCCCCTCACTTCTGGGGGATTTATGTGGTACTTTTAAGACAAGAAAAGACATGAAATCTCCAACGAGAACACAGACCGCAATAAAAATCCAAGAGAGGTTCTAACCCTTCTCCACCTTGTTCAAGATCTAAAAAAAACAAAACAATTTATTACACGGCTTTTGACTTTTATGTATTTTATATTCCATTATCTATTTAATAATAAAATAATGCAAATAAAGGAATAACCAACAAATATACATATTGTGTATTTTGGTGTTACCGATTTATGAGGGTCTACTTCATTTATGTGTACACTTGATTATGTTTTGTTTTTTCTCTATTACACATTTTAAGAGTTTGACTTTTTTTTCTGTTACCCATTTAATAGAGAGGATTTGAAATACAGTATTGTGCAAAAGTTTTAGGCAGGTGTAAAAAACGCTGTAAAGTAAGGATGCTTTCAGAAAGAAAGTGTTAATAGTTTATTTGCATCAATGAACAACATGGAAAGTAAATGTACAGAAGAGAAATCCAGGTCAAATCAATATTTGGTGTGACCACCCTTTGCCTTCAAAACAGCATCAATTCTTCTAGGTACACTTGCACACAGTTTTTGAAGGCACTCGGCAGGTAGATTGTTCCAAACATCTTAGAGAACTAACCACAGATCCTCTGTGGATGTAGGCTGCCTCAAATCCTTCTATCTCCTTCATGTAATCCCAGACAGACTAGATGTTGAGATCAGGGCTCTGTGGGGGTCAAACCATCACTTTCAGGACTCCTTCAGAGCACCTGCTGCCATTTTTTGGCACCCCAATAAATAAAAATGTTATACATTTTGTGTTTTGTATCTTTTAGATTGCAAGAACAGCTGAGGAGATCTACAAGTTTGCGTGTTACACTTTATTCAGTTTACAGCAAAAACATTTATGTAAAGATAAATCACTGTCGGACATAACAAAGGAATCGCTAGAAACATTAGCAAGCAAAGGCCTTATATGCAGCAAAAGCTGTCCTGGGTCAGATCAGCTTGTGATGGAGGTTACAAGACTTGGCCAAGCAACATATAAAGGTAACCAATGTCATGCTGAATATGGACAATTCTTTTATAGCCATAAAAGCAATTTAATGTCTTTAATGTTTATATTATTTTGTAGGTTCCATTGATTTATCTTACAGTGACGTGCTATACAGCGATCTTAGAAAAGGACTAGAAGGCCTAGTACTTCAGAGCCACCTACATCTTCTCTACTTGGTGACACCGTATGACATGGTAGCACAGTGCAACCCAGACTGGATGATTTACTTTAGACAGGTGAAATATGGCACCGTCCTCTTAAGCTTCTATTTTGCAAATATATGTACTGTATATCATGTTGTAAAGCACATTGATTTACTAAAACAACTTTAAAAACACAATACCCCTAAAACACATGATTATATTAATACATTGTCCAAAATCTGCTCAGACCAAAGCATAGTGAAATATAACAGAGGTTTAAAAAAAAAAATAGCCAAAACCTCAGTAAAGTTAGTATATCTTACCAGATAAGCATTTAAAATGCTTAAATCTGAATTTCATCTCACAAAATGTATAATATGCAGTATCTTTATGTCACAAGTGGTTAAAACTGAACTCTAATCAAACAGTTAAATACACAGTTAAAATACAGGGAGGTAGTTTTACCTGCCAATGATTTGTATTTCTCTCCATATAGTTGTGAGATTTACAAAGCTCTGCCACACAGCACAGTCCTGTCTAACAGGGCAGCAAACCTGATCTTTTTCTGCCACAGTTAAACACTTACAGGTCTTGTCCCTCCACCAGCCTGTGACATTGAAAAGAGAAGCAGCAGACTGATCAGCGCATGTCTCTCATGACCACAATACTGGTGGATTTTTTGTTTTGTTTATATTCAGTGTACTTTTTGTGTGATAAAGTGCAATGGTTATAGAAGAAGCATTGGGAAGTGCAGCTATAGTAGGATGTAAATAGCAGAGACTGTAAGTATTTGAGTACATGTGGTCAAACTCAGAAGCAAGTGAAACCCAAGATGGCTTGTGATTATGTCCAGTTTGAGTTGCTTCTGACTTACTTTTTGTGCATTCACAAGTAAATGCAGCACACAAACACGGCAAAATAATAAATGCTGCTTATAGCAAAATGTATAGCAAAGCAAATGTAGCAATACATTCAAGTAAACAATGCTCCAAATGATTACAATTCAAACTGCATTCCAAATGTATCCAAAATGCTTCACAAATGGAGGTCCGAAGCAGTAGAAAAAAAAAACCACCCCATTATACAAGCTGTAAAGAATGTTGGATGGGGCACACATGAGGGGCAGAGAAATGTCCTTCAAAAAAGAACAGTTTCATCAGGGCACTCTGGCATCACTAGATAAATGGTTAGACGTTGCATGCTGCCACATTCATACAGACGTATCCAATAAATCCCACAAGAATCGGCATCCTAGTTTGGTAATCTACAGCTCTTAGCAAAAACATTTAGAGCCCTGGTGCCCACGCTGCAGCCTGGGAACACTTGTGTAGCCCTAGAGGCCCCTGCAGACATTGGTGTGTGTTTTCCTTGCCTAGGTACTTACTTGGATCAGTAAAAGTAAATTAATCTTCAGACTGCATTATAGTAATTAAATGGCTTGGTTTATTTCTTTCACACCATTTTTCTTTTTATGTTTTTGTTTTTTTCCCTTCAAATCTTTTATGTATAATGGATCCTGCTAAGAGAAACATCAAATGCAGCTTAAAAAAGGGGGCTGTTGGAAGCACAAACATGGAAGCACTGATTCCTAAAGTAATCTCTTACAGTGTCATGCAATGTGTCTCAAGTCTGTGATGGTCTTCTGAAGTATGTCCCCAGTCTTCAACTACACCTATAAAATGTTCGCAGTCTCTAACCATCTCATGTAACATGTCTGTAGTGTCAGAGTTTTCTGTAGCATTACATTCACTGAATATTATGTGTGGCCTCTTGGTCATCTCAGGGGCCGCACTTGATGTAGACCCTTGAGCATCCAATTCAGTAGTAACATTGCATTTTTAGTAAACAGAAAGTGTTTTTTTGCAGGCAATACAGTTGACTCTAATGTTCATAGAGATTATGCAGCACAATAGTCGCTATGTTAAATGAAGGATCATCTACATTGCTTTATATAAAAATGGGCAAAACGTTCACTGTGTGACATGAGGTTTACTGCTGACAGGAAGAAAGGTGGTGGAGTGCCTTTTATCTCCTGTCATACCTATGAAAGAGCTGCCTGTCTATGGGCAGCCCTACACAGCCCAGGCATTAAATGTTTGTGAGTACTTAAAATAATGGTTTGCATCGGGTTTCTGAGTTTTAAACAGGACCTTTATCAATATCTTTAAAATGACAACAAAGACACCTTTAGTAATGACAATCTACAAACAGATACTTCTAGATAATTGCTGGCTTTTTATTCTTTGCATTCTTTACTTTTCTTTTCCTCCTCATTCTTCTCAGTGGCCATTTTCACTAAGGGCAGATTAATATATCTCCCTTTTACTTCCTGGATCTCTGGCACATGTGATTAGGACATGTGACCATGCACATCATCTCAGGGGAGCAAAATGCCTTTCCCTGAGATCTCATGGGATTACTGATGAGATTTGAGCAATGCACTGTGATGTAACCTTCCCAGGATGCAACACTTGGGCACATTACATCACTAATGCCCAAGAGGACCAGGAAGCGGAAAAACAGTAATTGTAAGTAAAATGAAAATATGTTTAACTATTGAATGTAAGATGATTTCATATCCACATGCAGAGCTGCATGCTGATGTGATTTTTACTGAATGTGAGTAACGGTCTGCTTTAGGAATATATTTGTTCTTATTTTGTGAGTTTTTTCCAATAATCTAATTTCTTAATGTTCCTGCTATGAATTTTGCATGTTTCATCATAATCGTATTATTTACTAAATACAATAATGTACTTTTTTCAGTTTAATCTGCTTGATCCAGTGGATCAGAAAGTGGCTGGAAATGTAGGGGTGCCAGAAAGTTTTCTTGCACGTAAGGTTTCAGGCCAAAGTGTAAAAAAGGTACTTTTTTTTGTGCGTGTGTGTAGGTGTGTAGCTTTAAAAGCCCCTCTCTTGGATTTGTATTGTTTTCAGATTTTTAATGTGCTTTTTTGTTACATGCTTATGTTTCTTCTCACGTCTCTACACTGTGGTACGGTTGTTGTCAGTAGGATGCAGACACTGACTTAAAGGAGAACTATGGGGTCAGTGTTTTCCCCCATAGTTCTCCTTAGGGTAACGGGAGGACACAAACTAGCGTCCTCCCGTTACCCTAAGCTCAGTATACTGAGACGCCGCAGCCGGAGCGGATCCCGACATAGATGACGGGATCCGCCCAGCTGCGTGAGTGACAGCTGGCTCTGCCTATCTAGCCCCCTCCCCCGTCCATTCCGCCAGTCAGCGCTGGCAGATCGGAGTGGGGAGAGGGGAATCCAGCCCCTCCCCCTGTCACGGCAAAGAGCTGTGACAGGATCGAGAGGTGGGAATCCCTGCAGGGAGCCGTGAGTGACAGTCATGGCTCTCTGCAGGGACAGGATCGAGAAGTGAGCGAGCGACGGTATGTGTTCGCTCACTTCCCGATCCGTTGAGCTGACGTGTGACAGTTTCATTGTCACACGTCGGCTCAAACTATGAGGCTGAGTGATTTTCACTCACCTCATAGTTCTCCTTTAACTACATAGGTGGGCAGCATGTTGGAGAGTTTTGTCATGCCTCTGATTTTATTATGCTGTTTGGCTTTCTACTTGTCATTGTGTTTTAATATGTGCATTGTTGATTTGACTTTCTACTTTTAGTGTGATGTTATTGCTCATTGTATATGCAAAACCCAATAAACAGAATTTATAAACAATAAGCAGTGTATATATTATTAGAAAGCCATAATACATCTTGTGACCTTTTTTTTTTCATTATAGAGTGCAGACAACAGAGCGGTGAATCGTCTTTACCTGTCATTCATACTGTATGCCTTGATGAAAGATTTGGACATATGGTGCGTGTCAGGAAAATTTGACATGCCTCGAGGGTTTATTCAGAATCTGCTGAATTCATCTGCTTCTTTCTCCTCTTGTGTTCTACATTTCTGTGAGGTAAGCCTGATAAACCTGTATTTGTACATGATAAAACAAAATGTTTTGCAATGGCAAAGATTGCATTAAATGTAAAAAAAAAAAGAAGTAGTGGAAGCCCATGTTTCCATCTTACCAGCCTGAATTGACAGCTTGGGTTGGCGAGGTGCTAGAAATCCTTTTGGCGTTTTGTTAACTGCTTACTCAATAGTTTTACCATGTTAAGTAGCACCCCAACCAGACAGACATATAAAATATCAGTGCTGATTATAAGCTGATTGGAGTCTCCTATGACCTAAATGAATAGGTCACAAAGTAGGGCAGCTTTTTCATCCGACAGGGAAGTCTTCCACACAAGCTGACAGTAAACGCAAAACAAAAGCGCCTTTTCCTTGTGACAAATAACTTTAACCACTTGCTGACCGGGGTGTTTATACCCCCTTCCCATCCAGGCCATTTTTCAGTATTCGGCGCTGCGGTACTTTGACATTTATTCCGTCATGCAACGCTGTACTGAAATGAATTTTATACCATTTTTTGGGGACAGATAGAGCTTTCTCATGGTGGTATTTAATCACCACTACAGGTTTTTTTTTTTTCACTGTATAATAAAAAAAAGTACCGAAAATTTTGAAAAAAAACCTGTTCTCCCTACGTTATGTTATAAAACATTTATTATTACCCAATTTTTGGTAAAATATAAAAGACGGGGTCACGTCGGGTAAATAGACACCAAACATGTCAAGCTTTAAAATTGCGCGCACCCGTTAAATCGCAAAAAACTTCCATAATCAAAATTGACCATAGCCGACGCTTTAAAAGCTTTTACTGCTCATCAGTTTAGTGTTATCAGTGATTGATGACCCTAGAATTATTGCTCTCATTGAGGCGATATGTAACATGTGCGGCGCAATGGATGTAATCGACGTTTTCGCATGTAGGCGGCTTGACGCATGTGTGGGGACGGGGGCCTTTTTTAAAAAAATTTGCTTTGATATGTGATTTTTTTATTTTTTTTGTAACATTGTTTTAAACCTTCTTTTTTTCCAACTGAACTTTATTGTTATCACATAGGGAGCAAGTAAGCTCCCTATGTGATAGCCAATTTGCAGTGACAGGTCCTCTTTATGGAGGCATCAGGGGTCTTAAGACCCCTAATGTCACCTAGGGACCCCAGAGAAGCTGATGAAGCAGAGACCTTTACAGACGCCCGAACGCTTGTATGTAAACAGCCATCGCTGGCTGTTTACATTCAAAGCCAGTTTCCCGCTCGTGTGCGCCGCCTAGCGGCGGGCACGAGCGAAATGGGATAGGACGTCTAAAGACGCCCACCCGCCCTCAAGAAGCCGCTGTCCGGCCATTTAATCACAACGGCCGGACAGCAGGTAGTTAATAGAGTAGAACACATACAAATGAATACTACTCACAAAGACCTGATGCGTTCAGTGCACATCACAAACGTGCATCCAAGTGTGCCCCTGTATGTATTACAAATGAGCCATTCTGCAAGTTAACCTCCTATCACTGGACAAGCCAGTGCTTGTGACACGAGCACTGGCTGGTCCAGTGACAAGTGGTTGACTTATTTTGAAGGAAGAGGCAGCAAGGTTCTGTTGTCTTCGTGCAGTGTCTCATCTTCTTTTCCCCTTTTTTATACAAGATGTATCTCATGCCTATAGAAATTTTCCATGCCCATTCATTTCATTCTATAATGATTACAAATGTGGTTTCTGTTTTGTGCTCAATAAAGGAGTTGGATGAATTCTGGGCATATAAAGCCCTTCTTCAGGATGTCACCAAAAAATTGAGTTACTGTGTCAGAGCAGAGCTGATACCACTAATGGAGGTGCCCGGTGTTTTGGAGGTAAGTAAAATGAACTTTTGCATTAAGCTGCCTTGAAAGGAAGTCACGATTTTTCTAGTAAAAACTGTAACAAACAAACCTAACAAATAGTCCACCCACTGGCTCTCTAAAGGTCCCCGAGAGCTTAGTAAGATCTGCCTCTCCCTCTAAAGATCCTGGCTGTGTACGTCATAAAAGGGTATTAATCCTCTGGTTAAGTGATGCTTTAAAGGCATATTCCACCATTTGCAAAAAGTTAATAAATGCACTCGCATGAATAAAAAAAATATATGCATGTATTACATTTTTGTATTCAAGCCTGGAAAGCATTACAACCACGATCTCCTTTCTCAAAGTGATCACGGGTCTTGTGCCTGCATACACTCTCTATCAGACTCTGCCTTCACTCCTTCCCTTCCTTAAATGTAGGGAGTGGGAGAGTGGAGGCAAAGTGATTCAGAGAGTGCGTGCAGGCACAAGCCCGTGAGAAAATTAATGAGCAGAAGCAGAAGTGGGTGCATCCACCGTGTTGGCAGAATGAATGAATGGCACAGCTGTGCGGTTGGATTAAAGATCGCTCTCAGGAGCTCAGTGAATTCAACCGTGGTACCGTGATACGTTACCACCTGTGCAATAACTCCATCTGTGAAATTTCCTTGCTGCTAAATGTTAACGGTCAACTTTTAGGCCTTGTTCACACCAAGCGCAGAGCAGATCCGGACCAGAGCAGGTGCAGACTGGATCAAAACTGCATCCAATGTATTCCTATGGTATTTTGACCTCCAGTTCACATCGCAGCGTGCGGATCCAGACCAGGTGAAAAAACTGCGGCAAGCCCTATTTTACCTGCTCTGGAACGCATAAAAAACGCATCAAAAACGCAACGCAATGCAACCCAAAGCAATTCAATGGGAAAAAATAACCATAAAGAAAAAAAACCTCCTATGGCCATCTGTCATGACCTAATCTTCCTTTGTCACTTCCTGTCTTTGGAAAAGGTGACCTTGTGAGCTGGAGAGCAAACGAAAAATGGTGGACCAGTTTTGTGACCCAGAGAGATTCATAAGTATGGTTCAACAGTGCCCTGAGCTATATGACAGCAGACACTTTCAATATAAGAACAATAGAAAGAAGGCTGACCAGTGGAGTTTGATAGCAGGGAGAGTTTTCCCAGGATATAAGGATATGTCCTTGACAGATAAGGAGAGCTGTGGTGAGTACTTCAATGTGAATGGCATTGTATACTAGTAGTTCCTCAAATGCAGTATTCCATCCACCCCCCTTCCCCCCCACCACTCCTCCTTATCACACTGCCTGTTTGCTCACTGACACCTGCAGCTGCTTTTCATGCAGCTTGTGTGGCTGTCTGTGATATTACATGTCATATGTATCCCCTTAGCAACACAATGGCGTAGCAGTATAATAACCATCACCAGGAGCATGCCTGCATCCCATGGATCCATGTTGCAACAATTTTACATGTGAAACAAGGTCAGAGGAAGCAGGAAATAATCGGAACAGCTAATGAAAGGTCAGAGGTAAAAGGAAATGACCACATAACCTTGTTAGCTTCCTGGAAAAACGCATCAAAAACGCATCAAAAACGCATCGTGCGTGTGCAGAAACCTGACCGGATCTGGTCTGCATTTGGTGTAAACACCTTAGTGGTATTACAACAAAGTGTAAGCAACTGGGAACAACAGCAACTCAGCCACAAAGTGGTAGGCCACATAAAATGACAGAGCATGGGTCAGCGCATTCTTGCACGAAGCAAGGTCCATAAAGACATGGATGAGCGACTTTGGGGTGGAGGAACTTGACTGGCCTGCACAGAGTCCTGACCTCAACCTGATAGAACACCTTTAGGTTGAATCCGAGCGGAGACTGCAAGCCCGGCCATCTCGTCCAACATCAGTGCCTGACCTCACAAATGTGCTTCTGGAAGAATGGTCAAACATTCCCATAGACGCACTCCTAAACCTTGTGGATGGCCTTCCCAGAAGAGTTGAAGCTGGTATAGCTGCATAGGATGGGCCAACCCAATATTGAACCTTACGGACTAAGACTGGGATGTCATTAAAGTTCATGTGCGTGTGAAGGCAGGTGTCCCAATACTTTTGGCAATATAGTGTGTGTGTGTGTGTGTGTGTGTGTGTATATATATATATATATAGTGTGTGTGTGTGTGTAATAATGTGTATTTTTTTTTTTTCAATAGGCCCGGGCCAAACAGCTATACAATGCGGGTTACACCACCCTTGCACATCTGGCTAATGCTGATCCACGACTGATGGTTAAGACCATCGAACATTTGTCAAAACGTCAGGCAAACCAGATTATTAGCTCAGCCAAGGTGAGAAGTGTCATGTGTCACCCATCAAAGTGATACATATTTATTGTTAAAAATATATCTTGTCGCAGATAGAGTATTCATGAATTATATTTTATTTTTGAGCTTTGTTTCATGTGCAACCTCAACAAGGGAAATTGCAGTAACTTTGAGCAATTTAAATTCTAGTATTCAGTCACAGAAATGAGACTGCTGCGGGTAAATGTATTTTGTATTTGATCTTTTTTGCTTAAACTAACTCACAACACCCTCCTCTCCCTTTAGCCCCCCTGCCCTGCTGCACTTAGCTGCAATGATGACCATCACCCACGCCAGCCAGCATAGTAAAAACATTTGCTACACAGCCCAGGAGGCCAGGAAGTCCATCTTTCACAAGGTGTACCTTTGCACCTGGAGGGCTTACTTTTAGCTGGTGTGAAAAGTGAAAATTTCATCCTAGGGAATACTCAATGGAAGGGATTTTGGCCTTTCTCTAATTGGTGTTGGATCAACATTTGGCTCGGAGTATGCTCGAAGGACATATGTTAGTTTTGGCCATTCTTTTTCAAAGGCCTCTCATTGTTTGGTCAAAGCCTTTATTCAGGGGGTCACTCATGTGGTTCCTCCTAGACGCTCTCCTGATGCCCTGGAATCATAATTTGGTGCTGTCATCTCTCCAGAAAGCTCACTTTGAACTTATCAGACCTATTTCTCGGACAGATCTTACACAAAAGGTGATTTTCATTTGATGCTGTAAATTTCCGCTATGGGGGTTTCAAGGTTTGCAGCACTGTCATGCAAAGAATATTTATTTGTTCTTCACAAGAATAAGGTTGCTCTCAGGCCTAGGGATTCATTTTTTCCTTAGGTGGGGTCCTCCTTTTAATTTTAATCAGAACCTCGCCTTTCCCTCTTTTTGTCCTGCTCTGAAACATGTTTGGTTTGAGGCATCTCCTGGTTCTACATATTTGTAAAGCTGCCATCTGGTCTTCTGTTCACACATTTACTAAGTTTTAACAGATGGATGTTCAGGGCTCTCTGATGCTAGTTTTGGCTGTAAAGTCTGAGTTGGGGATTCCCCTTGTTTCTGATATGTGGGCCTGTTTGTGGTTGTTTGCTGTGTTGCCCATCCCTCTGTTCTATTGCTTTTGGAAATCCCAGCATCTTTGAATATTCCTGTTCCCTGTACTCATTTTGACCTACCAGTAAAAAAAAATCTGTTTCTTGGAGTACAGTATAGGACACAGGACCCTCCCCTTCATGTTCTTTATCGCTTGCTAAAAAAACTGAAGAGTCTTCGTCCTCTCAGCTCTGGCCATTGTCCAATCACCTGGTGATAACTTCATATTACCATGTTGTCTATGAATCTGCCTATGTCCTGTACGATACTCCAAGAAACTGATTTTACTGGTGAGTCCAAATCCTATTTTAACCCTAGATCAATACTCCCAGAAATGTCTGTATCCCAGCAGACTTTGGAGGATGAGATTTTTGTAAATGGAACAGTGTTCAGCAGCGTGGGCACAATGAAAGGTAAGCATTTCCCGCCCTCATTTACAGGTAACAGCATTTTTAACAGGGATGTTTTGCAACAGGATCACATTAATAAATACATAACTATATTATACTGACTGGTATTTTTGAATATATTAGCCTGGAATTTAGCTTTACATAATACTGTACTAATATTTAGAGATCTAAAGTGAGGTTATAAAATTGCCACTGCTGTCTACTGTATATATAGATGGGAACTGTATGGTATGCCTCTAGTACTATACCAGGCAGTTAATTCTCATTGTTGAATGTATAATAATCTGGTCTTTTGTTTCTTCCTTAAGATGTTGCTGAATGAAAAAGCTGAAACTCTCCAAGAGGAAGTGGAAGAACTTCTTCGACTCCCTGCAGATCTCCCATCGCTTATTACAGAAACTGAAAATGTTCAGACAAATGAATAATTTTTTTGCTGGACATATTTTTATATTAACCCATGAACTGTAATAAATCAAATCTATTTTTTTTAATAACCTGTCGTTTTGTGATCTGTTTCATATACTGTTAAGCTGCTAATTCCCTTGTATCATTCTTAAAATTGTGAATGAGGGTAAATCATTTGAAGGAACTTTTAGTGGTTGGAGTATTTATTAATCCGCAATGAAATCTCCCATGGCCTTTTGTAAACCTGACATGTTGGGGGTATCTTGGCACAAGATTTTTATACACTACAATTCCTATATGTGTACATTCTGACTGCTGCTATCCCAGTCAACCCACAAAACCATATTGCATACATCCCTAATGACAAACTTCTTGAAACTGCCCCAAACACAAACATTTTTCTTGGTTTTCCCTGGGCCACGCATAGAATATATTTCCTCTATGAAGAAAAGCCAAGGTTTTAATAGTCACACTGCATGTATCTTTCTCTCTGGGAAATTATGTTGTAGAACTTTGCAAAAGTGCCACCTATTGGATTGTATAAGGATCTCTGTTTCTTTCACTGCTTTGATTCCGAAGTCCACAGAAAAACACACTTTTAGATTAAGGAATGTCAAAAAGCTGAAAAGTCTATTTTGCCTCTAGTTCCCCTAGTTTGCCTCTTGCTGTGATGCTGTGAGGTCATTACTTCCTTTCCTTGCAGTTAGACATTAGCTGCATGTAATGTGTTCAGCAAAATCTCTAAAAACTACACATTCTTCAGTTGGTGGGAGATCAGGTTATGGTCCTTACAAGGGTCTACATCTAGGCAGTGGAGGATTTCTGAGTCATCAGTGTCTTTGGAGAGTGGGCTCTGTATCCGAGTCATTTTGACAAATGCTAGAGAACTGCAGGCATGGAGCTAATAGCCTCCTGCCTCATCCACAAAGTGGACAGATGCACCACATGAATGAGGGATCTTCAGTTGGAATGCAGCAGATGCACACATCTCTCCCTGGGCACAGTATTCTGTGATGTACGCCTCTCCTCTCGTAACCCTCTTTTGGGATTTACCACTTCCCCTGGAAGGCTTACTTGTAGAAAGGCAAGTCCATGGGGTTCAGACCCTGTACCTATTTGGTCATTAGAGTACATAGCTCAATGTCAGTTTTGGAGTGGCAGTATTATAAATATATTTGGGAATATGAAGCATGTCGGCATTCGAGGCGGGAGGGACAGTACTAAAAAGGTAGGGATTACAAGGAACATGCCTTGTCACTTTTTAAAGAGGGGATATGTAGAATGTACCATGTCAGTATTTAGGGGGTGGTTGATATATGGAATATACAGTGTAACTATTTGTGGGGGTTATATGCAATGTACCATATCATCATTTGGGGGAGGCGTGGAATGTACCGTGCCAGGATTTGGAGGGGTCCATATATGTATTTCATATGTTTTTAGTATTTGGAAGGGATATATGGAATGTACCATGTCAGTATGGGGGATAAATGGAACGTACCATGTCAGCATTTGGATAATCAAGTCAGAATTTTCAGAGGGAATATGTTGAACGTACAATGTCTGTTTTTAGAGGGGTGATATGTGGCATGTACTAGGTCAGTATTCTGAATGGGGTGATTTATGGAATGTTCAGTGTTCGTTTTTGGTGTAGTGATCTATGGAATGTACTGTGTCAGTGTTTGGTGGAATATATATATATATATATACACACACACTGAGTGGCCAGATTATTATGACCACCTGACGTTTGTAGGCAAATTAGCTATTATTTATTTTCGGGGGGGGGGGCATATATAAAATGCATAGTGTCAGTATTTAAGAGGATACATTGAATGTACTATGTCTGTATTTGGTATGCGCTATATTGAGTGTACCATGTTAGTATTTATGGGGTGATATATGATGTGTGCGTTTGGGGTGATACTTTATATGGAATGTATAATACTAGAATTTGGTTGGAATCTAATTTTAAGACTTGAAAGACCAGATGATTTTTTCAAGGACCGTATACCACCCTTCAGAACCACGGTAACTCAGAGAAGCTTTTTTTGTAATATTGGGTCTATAGAACCTGAATAGCATAGTGATGTCACCACACTGGCTATACAATTTGGTAGGGTTTTTGCATTAGAAAATCTCTGGAGCAGGATTACAGACATTCTGATAAATAATGTGCCTGACATCAGTACCCGCAGGAAATACACACTCCTGATAGAAAACCAAGTTAAATTACAGGGTTGATACTTCAGAATAGAGTAGCAGAGTGGGATAATCCCATCACAAACACTAGTACTATACTTTATCACTACATACGTATGAAAATAGATTATCAACAAGAAATCAACAATATACTGTATATAAATGAGCCAAATCCAATCATTTACAGAGCTTTACACAAGGATAAGGATCTTTTATTTTGCCTATATTTTCAAATCTCATTGAACTCCAGTACTAGCAGTAAGCAGTAATCTAAATGGAGGCTATAAAATTATGGCAAAGGCAGAATGGTACCTGCATGGAGTGAGTTAAGAAGGGCAGATGAAACTGAAAAAAAGAATAAAGTGTACAAGAGGGTGATGGCAGTGTCAAGGAATGTTTTATTTCCACTAACAGTAACAAAAGGACAAAATCATCCAAGTTTCAGAAATGGTGTGTTTTCTATCAAAATAAATTAAACAAAGCCTTATCATTTTAGAAAATACACTGACAGATGTTGATGTTATATTATTTAAAACTGGATTAGTTTATGGGAATCTACACCATTTAGTATTAAAATAATGTAATGAGGGTCACTGCATACCATGTAAATATTGGTAGTTACGATATATGTTGGGAAATTCCAAGAACAGTCTGGGGTCAGTCACTTAAAGTATGGGAAATTTCCCAAACTCAATTGCACAGTTTAATCTGCTTGTTTTGTAGGATCAGCAGCTGTAACTCATTAGTAGGGAAGGGGAGTGGGGGGGTTCTAAAATGTAACAAAAACTACTGACATTCCACAATATAGCTTACAACCTTTTGACCCATATGAAATATGGTACAATGAGGAAACTGACTCTCAGATCCAGCACTCAGTCACAGTCCAGCCTCATATCAGACAAGGTAAACAAGCAGCACTGATACTACTGCATGCATGGATTTTACAAAGTGTGTTAATGTGAATTGCTTCCATTTTGAGTGCAGTTTTAGCCTCCAAGTATTTGTTCCCTTGTGCAAAAAATATAACCGATTAATGCTTGATAAGAATGAAGGTCACCAGCACTCCATGAATACTTCTAAATTCTTGTTTTGTATTTATGTGAAGAGGTGCGTCACGTGCAAAAAACGTTTTTTGCACGTGACGCACCTCTTTACATAAATACAAATAGGAATTTGTAAGCTTTCATCGAGTGCCGGTGATCTTCATTTGTATCAAGACTTAGGGGGTTATTCACTACAGAGCCGAAGGATCCAGCCGTAGCTGCAGCTGATCCTTTGGCTAGCTTCGGCCACCTGAGCCCTTCGGTTCAGTCGAACTGAAGGGCTGCTGTACGGGCTATTCACTATAGCCCGTACAGCACCCATATGCTTTGGCTCGGCTGAGCTGTAGTGGCAGGCGAAGTGACTTGCATTGAGTTCGAACTCGGACCTGTTCGGCTCATCACTACTTTACAACATACACAGGGACCATGGGGAACAAAGGTAGCCACCCTCCAGAAGGAAGGAGAATGTCAGCATGAATTCAAAATGATTTGAGGATCTACAGCTGAGTGATACACAAATAAGGAACATTTTGGTTAATAGGGTTCTTGAATGCATTTTTAAGATTTAACTCCTGAGTTTAGCGTCACTTTAATGCTGTATGGATGGTATTCACTCGGCTATATGCTGCGCTGAAGTTTTATACATGAATCCCTTTGTCATTTCCACAATTTTTCACCTCTCATTACTGGCAGCGGATCACAGCACAGGAGCGGCCAGTGGAGAAGGCATCATAGGACTGGAGGACAGACAGCAAAGGGGGAAGGCACCCACATTTTTGATGAATTGCAGTGATAGCAATCATTCGTGATTTGCCGGAGTCTCAGCTACAGCTCTGCTATAAGCTTATGGTCGCTATAGCATCCATGAGCTTATATCCTAATGGAATGTTAGGGCTAGATAGTGGGCCTGCTGCTGCTTGTTAAGACAATACAAAATGCATTTACCAGAGAGTTTTATACATCCAGCATGTGCAAATGACCATTTTGAACACTATCAGCTGCATGATCAACTGTAATGGCAAAACCAGGATGCATGCTCACATTTTAGCAATTTGCATGAAAACACCCATGTTAGTAAGAGCTAAAACAAATAAGCAACTAAATCCAACATTTAATATTACTTCCTTCTTGCTTCTGCAAATAACAAGGTATATTGTCAGTTATAAGGCTATGAACCACAAGTATTTGAATACTGCTGTAAGTTTTAATCATCATTGTCTTATAACAGGTGTTATTTCATCACACTTTAAGGTGTGCCTATTTCTTTTCACACATGGGTGTGACATGTCGATTATTCCTTCAGGCCCATCTGGCTGTCTGTGCATGAAAAACAGCTAAGTTGTAGAACAGATACACCTTAAAAGATAGAGATGTCAGCAACAGAAATGCATAGTTTAAAAGACGATGTATGATGTGGAAGCTATGCCCAGAAATTAAAAAAGGAAGGAGAGGTCAAAGGACTAGTCACCAGTATTGCCTGTGGTCTCCCTGCCAGTGGTTCTTCCTATTATTGAATTACCATGCTTTGTTGTGAACTGTGTCTCTTTGTAGAGATGGCCATCTTGGTAAAGAAGTAGGGCTTTGCATCCTCTTGTCAGAACTGTCCTCATGGTGATTGGTGGTCTGGGGAAATTTTCAAGAAGCTGCAGGAGAAATGGAGGATGCACAGTTTCAAAGAATAAGTAAAGCAGAAGCAAGGAGATCCTCACACTGCAGGACCTAAAGTATAGCCTACTCTCCAGCAAGTAATGAGCAGCACAGTAGTGACGTCATCAAATCTCAAT